ATCAACTGCTTTTCATCCTGTTGTGTGCGGCTGATCTTACTGTAGATTGGACAGTACCACTTTCTGCACAGCAAAACACCAAGCATCTACATCATTAACAAGGGCTACAGTTTGAGCTTGGCACCTAGTTAAGTGGTTTAACTTTCAGAAGGGTTGAGCACCCCCAGCCTCCACTGAAGCCAAAGAGGATAGGATACAAGCCGTCAGGGACACTACAGCTGTGCAATGCTAGGTGCTTAACCGAGGTGCCTAGCTTCGGGAACCCCACTCTGAAAGTTTAGACCAATACCAATTACAAGAGCAAATAAAACCAGCTTGACTCCCAGGCTCCTAAACCTCCCACCTGCCTGCTACTAACCCAGGAGTGGCAGCCCACTGTCTCCTCTATCAGCCTGGGGCGATGCCTTGAATAGCGAGGTGTGGCCCGTGCACACAACTGCTCCGGACAAGGCTCCGTGTCCGCCCCCGGGGACCCAGAGGCAGCATCAGGCGAGGGCCGCCCCTGCCTGAGAGGAGAACGCTGCAGGTGGCACAACCCCAGCGAGCGCCCGAGCCGATGAGGGCCGCGCTCCCTCCCGCAAGCAGGGGCAGCCCTCGCCCGGCCGGGACAGCTGCAGACAGTCCGCCCGCCGGCGCTGCGGGCGAGACTCGGAGGGACCTGCCCGCCGCGGAAGGGGGAAGCCCCGCACCGACAGCTGCAACCCGCGGGGAAATGCCCCACGTAGCAGCCCCCCACGCGCCGCTCACCGGGTCCTCGGCCAGCACCGCGAACGCCGCGGCGGCAGCGAACGCCAGCAGCGGCCAGCGCGAGATACTCATCCTGCTGCTAGGCCCCGCCGCACACAGACTGACAGAGCCGGCACGCGCAGGAACCAAGGGAAAAGCGGTGTCATGTGACACAGCCCTGAGCCCGCACCACCCACGCCCAGCGTGGGGCGCGCCACGTGACTCATCATCTCCAGGAAGGTACCGCTCACGGTGGAGGGGGGCAGAGGGTGAGGAATGTTCCACTGGCACCCAGCGAGAAGCAAACAAGGGGCAGTGCAGGAGTCCGGGTGCGGGCCGCTGGGCTAGGCGGCTCTGCAGGGAGCAGCAGGCCTCAGCACACGCCAAAACCGGAATAGGGAAATTTGCTATTTTTGCACCCCCCACGATTGGCCTGTGGAATGTACTGCCTCGGCGATGCAGAGCCGTCATTGAAAAAAATGGAAGGGCCGGGCTAGTTATATGGACAGTGAAGTGAGAACACCCAGGCTTGCATTAGTTAAGATTAAAACTGTTTCAGGGCTATAAGCCTTCATGCAGCCACCTGGAATAAACCAGTCACTAACTTCCTGGGGTAAGGAATACGTTTCCCTCATGGGCAGATTATTCCATAATTGTCCATTACAGGATTTGTTGCCCTTTTACTCCTGGGGGAATTCTGCGTCACAGAATTAAAAATTCTATGCACAGTATTTTAAAATTCTGCATATTTTATTTGTCAAAATAACACAATATAATCACGCTGATTTCAATTATTTTGGTAATTTATTTAAACTGCAATACAATGGATGAAGAATGGTAGTAGGGAGCATTGGAGGAAATCCTCAAATCCCCTCTAATAGTAATTTAGCTAGTATTGATCCTTTCGTCTAGTTGTTAGTCAACAAATATATGCAGCTATATGCTCAGTGTTACATCATAGACAACTGAAGAGCAAGTAAGGGCTAGGGACTCAAACTCACAATTTATATTGGCTTCTGACCATCTCCAGAAAAGTCAGTAGCAAACCGTTCATGGAGCACAATTTGATACAAAATTTTTTCAGTCCAAAAATGTAGACAGGTTCTAATCACTAAAGCGCCATATATCGGGGGTAGCCGTGTTAGTCTGTATCTACAAAAACAACAAGGAGTCTGGTGGCACCTTAAAGACTAACAGATTTATTTGGGCATAAACTTTCATGGGTAAAAACCTCACTTCTTCAGATGCATAAAGTGCCATAAGCATTTCTAAGGCCACACTATATTTTACAATAAGGCTCCTTTACACCACTCTGGCAATGTAAAGGCGCTTTAAAATTTTTACACCTGTTTTATACTCCTGGGGAATTCACTAAGAACAATGGGAACAATTCACTAAGCAGGCAGAGTCTGCTCCACACCTACCTCCTCAGAAACACCCCAAAGCCCTGCCCCTCCACACCAAGCATGCCACAATAGCAAGCAAGACGGACTTATGACTGCCCAGCCCTCCTACCTGGTGGTGATTTATGTTTCTACCGGCTGCTCTGAGCCCAAACTGACCTGTCTGCACTGCCAGGGAGGGCACGTGACCACTCTTGCGGCTTCCCTTTGCATCCCCGTTAGAAATCATTTTTCTGCAGGGAAGCAAAGAAATCTGCAGAGGTCATGAATTTTGCGCATGTGCAGTGATGCTAAATTCCCCCAGGAGTACCCCTTCCTCAGAGGCATCTGTTAGCTGCTGCCAGATGCAGAATACTGTACTAGACTGGATAGTTCACCATTCTGACCTAGTATGGCAAGTCCTATTTTGCAATCTATGTTATATAAAGAATTTTAGCTGTTTAAAGAAAGACTTGAGGCATACAATCTATAGCACATTGGGAATGAGGTTGGCTATTGCAACATCTCAAAGCAATGATCACTAGTCAACATAATATTGAGTTTCTATTCTCAGAGTTCACTGCATGGAGCATGAAGAGACTATTTCAGAGGTGAATTGCTTGGAGTCCATCCACACTGAAAGAGATTTCTCAGTTTGTATTTCTGTGAGACTCTTACTTGTTCTCTACCTGGGTCTTGAAGACTGTATGCAGATAACTAAAAGTATCTGAGAGATTATAGTTGGTTCTGAACAGTTCAATACCTTATTATAATTATTGGCAAAATATCCTCCCAGATGAGAAACTTTTCCCAACTCTACCCAGCTAGGCATGAATTGTAGTTTAGTTTGGAAGCAACTAGTGATTTTGTTCCTTGCCGTAAGACTAAATTAAATTATTTTGTAGTGTTGGAAGGGAGGCGAGCTCTGAAGTGGTAGACAACAAGATTAGTTGGCTTTAGGAGTACAGTACGCTCCCCTACACCAGTCCAGTCAGCAGTGCAGCGGAGGCTCGAGGCTAAGGCAGGCTCCCTGCCTGCCCTACCTCCGTGTGGCTCCTGGAAGCAGCCGCCGGCTCCCTGCGGCCCCTATCGCTGGGAGGCTCCACATGCTGCCCCTTCCCCGAGTACAGGCTCCGCAGCTTCCATTGACCAGGAACCACGACCAATGGGAGCTGCAGGGGGCAGTGCCTGCGGATACGAAAGCAGCGCGTACCACGCAGAGCTGCCTGGCCATTCATGTGCCTAGAGACCGCAGGTACTTGGCGGCTGCTTCAGAGAGCCGTGGTAAGTGCTGCCAGAGCCCCGCACCCCAACTCTCTGGCCCAGCCTGGAGCCCCCTCGTGTATCCCAAACTCCTCATTCCCAGCCCCACCCCCAGCCAGAGACCACACCCCTCCTGCACCCCAACCCTCGGGCCCAGCCCGGAGTCCCCTCTCACACCCCAAGCCCCTCATCCCCAGCCCTAACTCCCCACACCCCAACCTTCTGGCCCAGCCTGGAGCCCTCCCCCTCCCCTCCCCCCCACCGGAACCCCCTGCCCCAGCCCAGAGCCCCCTCCTGCACCCCAAACCCCTCATCCCCAGCCTTACCCCAGAGCCTGCACCCCCAGCTCAGAGCCCATACCCCCTCCCACACCCCAACCCCCCTACCCCAGCTTGGTTAAAGTGAGTGAGGGTGGAGAAGAGTGAGTGATGGAGGGATGGGGGGGATGGAGCAAGCGGGAGGCGGGGCCTCGGCGAAGGGGTGGGGTATGGGCGGGCCTCAGAGAGGGGGCAGGGCAGGGGTGTTTGGTTTTGTGTGATTAGAAAGTTGGCAACCCTACAGTGCCTGATGCCAGCAGGGCTACTGCAGCCAAAAGGAAGAGCTACAGTGCGAGACAACAGCCTTTCTACTGAGCTCCAACTCCACCAGCACTCAGCAACTCTCAATGTTGTTGTAGAGAGATAAAAAAAAAGGACGTCCCTCGTAATAAGGGACTGTTGGCAACCATAAGGGGAGGCTTCTGGGGTGCCTCTGACAGTCACAGCACTGGGTTGGAGCTCAGTCTCTTCTTTGTGGAGCTAGGAGTTCTAGCTCAGTCTCAAGCCCTATGGCTGAGAGAGACAAAAGGGCTGTTTTCCCTTCTGCTACAGGGAGCAACGCTAGGTCTGCTTCTCCTCCTGCTGCTGTAACCCAACTCCTTGCAGCCAGCTGTCTCCCACAAACAGTGTCCCTGTCTAGGCTCTCAGTGCACATCAGGCTGGTCCCAGCCATATGCAAGCTCTCCAGGGTCTGCAGATGGTCTTCTAGGCCATGGAAGCAGGTTCTGACACGGTAACTCCTTTTCCTCCTCCTCCCAAACAAGGGGTCTGTCTGGTGCAGCTCCAATGTCAGGATGGTCCCAGCAACCATGCACAGGCTATGAAGGGTCTGTATGTGTTTGCCCCATGTTGTCAGTCAGACTGCAGGTCCCCAGGCCTCACCAGCAGTTTGTGTCCCTCAAGCAAAAGCCAGGCAAGCGGTTTCAGTAGAATTTCCCCAATCCTCTGTGCTGCTGACTGCATGAGCTGCTGGAAGCTCCTTTTCTCAAGCCCCCAAAATACCAAGGGGGCTACGTTTATCACAGATTTATATTTTGGAGTGCCTAGAAGTCAGTTAATTCAGGGCTGCACTGTTCTAGTTGTGCAAACATACAGTAAACAACAGTCTTTACCCCTAAGAGTTTTAGGACCTCCATTGTCCTTTGATCTGTGACGGCATCAGCTGACGCAGAGTTCTTTTTCAAGAAGAGATCAGCTTTTGGAGTATTGTAGAATAGCTTCGGAACTATGAAACAGTATCAAAATTATATATTTCAAGTAGTTGAAACAGGAATTGCCAAATTATTTGGTTGACAGCCTTGACGCTGCAAACTCTTCGAGTGATGGCTTATTATCAAGATACAGCTGTTAGTTTGCTGGCTGATCTTTGGGGACCTGTTTTGACTTATTTGAGTGAATGATTAATAGGAATAAGTACGAGTGAAGCAATCTCCAAAGACTTTTGCTATTGTCTTGTTGCCTGGGTTAAACATTCATACTACTGTCGGCAGTGCGGAAGACCATATCTACCTCAGTGGATGCACTCTGAGCTGTCAAATGAAACATATGGGGTCAAGCCCTCAGCTGTGCCTATGTCATGCTCCTGCAGCTGAGGTTGGGCTGGAAGTGAAGATGACTCTAAGTCACCTTTCCATTCTCTCAAATCTACTCTGTGGACTGTTTCTCTCCAACATAGAGTAGCCCAAGGGATGCTGTAAATTAAATCAGTTGGAGCACTTGCATAGGGACTACTCCACCAGCTGATGATTTATCTCATGGGAATCCTTGCCGGACTCTTTAAGGCAGCTTTCCAGCGGTTTTGCTCTGCTGCTGCAGCACAAAACAGCTGGAACAGGAGACAAAGAACTGGTTCGTAATCTTTCTCCGTAGGATCTGGTTCTGTGTTGTGGTTTATCTCCTTTTAGTGGTGCCTCCTGCAAGCATGGGAGTCATGAACATGAAGAAATGTATTAAGAAATCTAACACAGGTATCATTTCATCTGCAGAGGATGGAACACTTAGATATTGCAAATGGAGAGTTCCTGAAATTATAGCAATCCAACCTTGGGCTGAAATAGTTTTTAACCTTTAGAGATAAGGATAGAATTATTAACACAATAGCAGGACGGTGGGCAGATAGGAAGGTTGCATGAACCTGATCAAACCAGTCCAGTCTTTTTGTAGTTAATGTGTTTTTTCTTTTGTATCTATAGGAGTGTTGGCATTGAATAGTTTAATA